TGCAAACCGAAAACTGAATTGTTATTATTGTACTAAAATAAATTTTTATACGATGTATTTTTGGATTTCTTTTTCAGTGGGAAGTTGACCGACTTGCTAAGTTAACTGGTTGTCAATTTTCTAGTATGTTTCGTACTCAGAATACAACACATGTTATCATAAAAACAGGTGAGTTTAGAATAAAAATCATTTTATTCGTTGCAAAATGTTTAAAATATTGGAGTTTAAATTTTAAAAGGTTCTGTGAAATTGGATTCAAATTTCAGAATCATAATCATATTTATTGTCATTATAATTTTCATTGTTTTAGTCAATGATAAATTTATTCCATCCCCATATTATTGTCATGGTCATCAATAATGTATGGCAGATGTCCCAATATAGTAATATTCACTTTGTTGCACAACCTGATGGGCGCTTTGATAAATTTAACATTCCTTTTGCAGTGTTTCTAAATATAAAAACATCAATTAAAAAAATCAATACCTTTTAAACACATTTATTTCCTTGTTCTATGCTTACTACTGTAATCAGACAATATCACAATAAATCAAATAATGTGCTTTCATAGGCCTAAATAAATTTTTTCTTTTTATGATCAGAGAAGAAAATGTTCCTAGTCGGCCATAGAGCGGTAGTCACTGAATATTTCAAGGATGCAATAGTATGTGGCGTGGCACCAAAAATTCAAACATGTAAAGTGCAAACAAATATACCCATATTGAATACTCGCACTTGGTAGTTGTGGTTGCTGAGCGAAAAAGGAAGTTAAGGAAAATATCTAAATGACAAAAATAATCCAAAATCTATGGTGTTGGTGCTTTTGACATCTAAGAAACTCTCTATGCTAAACATTTTATCATAAAATCTATTGTAAGCGTTCATGACTGGTCGAACAGTTTTTTATAGAAATCTAAATTGTGCATCGTAGATTAGTTTTACTACATTCAAGTATGATAATGTTTGGTCATAAATTACTCCTTCATCATGGAGAGACAAGGCAACATCGATATTGGTGCGTAATTTTGTATGTTATTATGTTCCCCTTTACAAATAGGTGTTTTTTGCTGTTTTTAGCTCGCATTGAAATATACCAGTCACCAGTGTAACATTTATAATGTGGGATAGGTTTTGAAAGAATATCAGAATAGAGTTTTATATATTGTGCACCTATATCATAATGTCCTGCAGATTTGATGATGTTTAGTTTATCATTGATCAATATATTTCTTTATATCCGTCTCTGACACAGGTTTTATCATGGAGGTATAAAATTTTGTATACCTCCATGGTTTTACAAACATAGAGCAACATTGATTATTTTGACAGAAATACAGTTAGTACTATATTAGTTTGTTCCTTATTTTAAGTAATCTTTTGCCTATGTTAACATATATATCGTTAAAGCCTCAGCTTTTGGTGTACTGCATAATATATTTGTTTCATTAGGCCAAACAAAATAAATGTTCTGTCTCTGGTCCGCGCGCGTCGATTTAGACCATACGCGTCAATTTTTTTAAA